ATCTCAGGGAAGGCATATGACTAATCAAAGGGTAGTTAATATGTTTCAATTCTCCTGCTAACCTCAGTGACTTCCACAGGGCTGAGACAAGAAGGACTCTAAGACTAGCTGAGTAGTGAGAACGAGTAGCATGACTGATTAGCAATGACTCCCTTAATCATAGGATGGAGGCCTAGAATCAACTTCACCATACATTCTCCATCTCTGGCCTAATGGCTCCAGTTATGAGATGGTGCTACAATACCCCCTTCTGGTGGCCACGTGTGTTTAACTGCAGAATCCAATTTTTTAAGACTGGATATATTTGGGGGAGATGAATACACAAAACTGAAGTGAAATGATGACAGAAAATATCACAACCTCCTGATCATTTCAACCGAAGTAGATTGTGATGATGGAGTCATAGAGAAGACAAAAATTAAATTAGGCATTAAAGAATGCCTAGGACTTGATTAGGGGAAGATGAGCAAAGAAAGGAATTCCAGACAGGGGCAATAATTTGAAATAAGGTACAAAAGGTGGGAATGAGGACACTCAGCACTGGCAGCAGGGAGGAAAAGTGAATAATGAGAAGACTGGACTAGAGCAGGAAGACTGTACAGAAGAAACAGCGTTAGAAAAGTGCTTTGTGCAGACCCTTGACTGAGGAATTTGGGCTTATCTGATGCATTTAAAAAAACAACAAACATTGTTGTCCAGTCAATTTCAACTTATAGCAACTCTGGAAGCAGACTGCCACATCTTTCTCCTGTGTAGCAGCTAGTGGGTTCAGACAGTGACTGTTTGGTTAGCAACCAAGTGTTTTAACTACTGAACCACCAGGACTCTTTATTTGATGCATAAACCTAACCTAAACCTACTGTCACTGTGTGGATTCTGACTCATAGTGACTCTATAGGACAGAGCATAACTACTCCAGAGGGTTTCCAAGGCTGTAATCTTTACAGAAGCAGACTGCCACATCTTTCTGCCACAGAGTGACTGATGGGTTCGAACCACTAACCTTTTGGTTAGCAGCCAAATGCCTTACCCACTCCACCACCACAGCTCCTTATCTGATGCGTAATGGGAGTAAAATACTTACTCTAGGCTTTAAGAAGCAGAGTGGAAACATTTTAAAAGAAAATAAAAAGAAGCGAGTGGAGAGTGGAAGATGTGGTAGGCATGAGACTACCTGAAAAGTTCACACATAGTCACATTAATGTGGCTGGGACCGGAACACCATGGCAGTTCCTGGAGAGAAGCAGACCAGTGAAGTAGAAAATAGATACTACTGAGGCACAACTGGTGGGTGGCCTTATGACAAAGAAGGGAGAGTGTCTGGAGTCACTCTCACAAGTTAAAGACCCTTCTCTAGGCCTCAATTTCTTCATCTATGAAATAGATATAAAAGTATCCACCTCATAGTGGTGTTAAATGAAATCATGCACGCAAAATGCATGGAGTATGGTAAGCCACCCATAAACTGGGGAGAAGGAGAAAAACATATTCCTCTCCTTCAGATCACATATACATCAGTTTGTAATTATACATGTCTGACTATTTGATTAAGAGATTAAGAGCGCCTTCCACCAGCTGGAAAGCTCATTGAGCTCAGGGACCTACACCTGTAGGTCTGTGCTTATATGGTGCCTGTCACATAGTAGGTGGTAAATAAATATTTGTTGAATAAATAATTAAAGATGTATAGATAGATGGAAGATACATAAACATAAATGAATGATTTCACCCAAATTTCAAAGCATCTTAAAAGTCCTGTAGTCTCATTGTTCTCATTTTACAGATGAAGAAATGAAGAGGCCATTGAAGCAGCTCTATTTCTCACTTTGTGAAGGTGAGTAGTGTTTACTTTCCATGTGGAAAGACACATAAGGGACTGACCACCACCTGAGTTCTGGATTCAGAACTCCAGCTGGCCAGCTGACTTTGTTCATGGAGAGCATACATAATCAGGTGGACTCCACTGTTTTCTTTATCCCTATGACCTCCACCAATGACCAAGAAAAAGGAGACGATACCTAAAATTCTTTATCCTTAATGATGTATAGATAAAATAGACATGGTTTCAGAACCAAGCTAGTCAGTTAGATGAGGGAAAGCAAACGCTTAGGCAAGAAATCATAAAACAAAGCAGGAGCACTATTTCATAGAGATACAAGTGCGTGAGGTTCCACCATAAAGGATTGAGGGGTCGGATGTTTGGTTAGAAAAGGGTTTCTGGGAAAGATGATCCCTAAACTGAGTCTTAAAAGACAGGAAGGATTATCTCTGGATTTGGAGAGGGGAAAAGTGTGATGAGAACTTCTGAGATGCCCTGCGGCCCTTTAGCTGGGACTCTCATCCATGATAGGAGCAACAAGCAGTATGTTTCATATGCATACACATAGAAAACATACATGATTATTTTGTGCATTTTCGTTAATCTATATAGTTTTCTGTGAATTGCCTTTTTATCTCAATATATTTTTGAGATTTCTCCATATTGATACATGTAGGTTGAATCCATTTCTGTTCAAGTTCTATGAGCCTATTTATAAACATTTATTTTGGCTAACATTTGTCTATTACAAACAGTCCAGGAGTATATACGCTTGTATAGGTCTCCTAGTGTACATGTGTAAGTCTTCAAAGGCAAACACCAAGAATTAGAATTACCACGGTATGCACAGTTTTGAGTTCTCTTATTCTGATTTACAGTCCCACCAGCATAACCTCACCAACATGTGATTATCCTCAAATTCTGTCATCCAAGCTGTGCTTTGTAGGAAGACTTTCATCATCCTCATCAGGCAAAAGTACATTGCAAAACATCCAGACTTCTCATAAAGAAAGTGGGAAGAGCACTTACTCAGCTCCAGGTCCTTTAATGCACATCCATTTCCTCTCAGAACCCACTAACTCATACATTAGGATCCTTGCTTTACAGTGAGAAAACTGAAGCTGGGAGAAGTGAGGTGACTTGCTCTACTAGGAAGCAGATATGCTATGGACTAAAGTCTACACTCTTTTCACTGTTTTATACATTCAACTAACAGTTATTGGGCACTGATTTCATACCAGGCCCTGGAGATATGAAAATGGACTTTAAGACTATTCTTAGCACATAGTAATACTCAATATAAGTTTGTTGAATTGAGGAATTCAAAACCCACAAAGGAGATAAAAACCCATTATCATGAGTTGAACTGTGTCTCAAAAAAT